CTTAGACATGGCAGGAATGTTGGGATTAGGAGACCAGGAATTTAAACAACTATGACTCGCGGTCATAGTCACCTCTAATGGGAAAGGCCTCTAATGGGAAAAGCAGACAACATGCAAGAATAGGTGGTCAATATAAGCTGAAAGAAAAAGGAAATTCTAAGAAATAATTTTAAAAAATACTAGACATCAAAAGCGCTGAAGGAAATGAAGGATACCTTTGATGGGCTTGTTAGCAGACTAGATATGGCGAAAGAAAGAATCTCTGAATGTCAGTAGAAACTTTCAAAACTGAAAATCAAAGAGAGAAAAGACTAGGGAGGAGAAAAGGGATAGGATATCTGAGAACTGTGGAACAACTACAAAAGGTGTACTTACACATAATGGAAACACCAGCACAAGAAAGAGAAAAGCGGAAGAAATATTTAAAGCATAATGATTGAGGGGGCGCCTGGGTGGCTCAGAGGGTTAAGCCTCTGCCTTCTGCTCAGGTCATGATCCCAGGGTCCTGCGATCGAGCCCTGCATCGGGCTCTCTGCTCAGCAATGAGCCTGCTTCCCTTCCTCTTCTCTGCCTGTCTCTCTGCCTACTTGTGATCTCTGCCTGTCAAATAAATAAATAAAATCTTTTTTAAAAAATGCATAATAATTGAGAAGTTGTCCAAATTAATGTCAGATATGAAACTGCAGGTCCAGGAAGCTCAGAGACTACCACATAGGATAAATGCAAAACAAACAAACAAACAAACTAAAATACCCTATACCTGGGCACATCACACTCAAACTGCAGAAAATCAAAAATACAGGAAAATTCTTGAAAGAGGCCAGAGTAACTTCTACAGGAGCAAAGAGAAGAATTACATCTGATTTCTCCAAAGCCATGCAAGCAAGGAGAGTGGAGTGATATATCTAAGGTGTCGAGAGGGAAAACAAAAACAAAAACAAACAAAAAAACACCACCAGCTGAGAATTCTGTACCCTACAAAATTATCCCTCAGAACTGAAGAAGTACTTTCTCAGGCAAATGAAAATTGAGAGAATTTGTTGTCAGTAGATCTGCCTAGCAAGAAATGTTAACAGAAGCTCTTCTGAGAGTAGGAAAATAGTATAGGCCAGAAACTAGGATCTACATAAAGAAAGGGAGAGTACTAAAGGAGTTAGTGATGATAAAGTTAAAACGTTTATTTTTCTTATTCTTAATTAATCTAACATAACAATCAGAATAATAATAGCAACTATGTATTTGACATATATATGCTTGTGTGTAAGTGAAATAAATGACAGCAATGACACAAGGGACAACAGGGAGAGATTAGGAATATTTTATTGTTATATGGTACTTGCACTACCCATAAAGTACTGTGGTGTTTTGCATATTGCAAAATATTGGACAACCACTTAAAAATGTTTTTAAAAGTATAATTGATATGCTAAGAAAGGAGAGAAAATGGTAATATAGGCTGCTCAATTAAAACCACAAAAGACAGCACAAGAGTAGAAGGCAAAAACAGAAACAGAATAAGAGCAATGGCAAAACAATAATAAATATGGTAGATATCATTCCAGCCATATCAGTAATCACTTAATTTTTTTCTTTTCTTTAAGATTTTATTTATATATTTGACAGAGAGATCACAAGCAGGCAGAGAGGCAGGCAGAGAGAGAGGAGGAAGCAGGCTCCCTGCTGAGCAGAGAGCCCGATGCGGGGCTCAATCCCAGGACTCTGAGATCATGACCTGAGCTGAAGGCAGCGGCTTAACCCACTGAGCCACCCAGGCGCCCCAGTAATCACTTTATTTTTTTAAAGACTTTAAGTAATCTCTGCACAGAATGTGGGGCTCCAACTCACAACCCCAAGATTAAGAGTCCCATGCTCTACTGACTGAGCCAGCCAGGTGCCCCTCAGTAATCACTTTAAATATTAATGATCTGAATGTGAGAATTCAAAAAGATTGTCAGAGTTTAATAAATGGCAAGACCTGACTATGTGTTTGTCTACAAGAAGCCCATTTTACATATAAAACACATATAGACTAAAAGTAAAAGGTTAGAGAAAAATATACCATGTTAACACTAATCAAAACAAAGTGGGAGTAGCTATATTAATCTGAGACAGAGCAGACAGCTGAGCATAAAAGTTGTCTGATATAATGAAGGACATTACATAATGATTACATAATGACATTACATAATTACTGATAAAGGAATCAGTTTTCCAAAAAGAGGTAACAGTCCTTAATGTGTACACACCTATTAACACAGCATCAAAATATATGAGGCAAAAACTAATATATATCTACAAGGAGAAATAGGTAGATCCACTCTTAGAGTTGGAGACTTCAACAGCCCTTGGTCCAAAATGGACAGATCCCAAAAGCAGAAGATCAGCAAAGACATAGCTGAATTCAACAACACTGTTAATTAACTAGATATAACTGACATCCATAGACTACTTTATCCAACAACAGCAGAATTCATTCTCCTCCAGGTCACATGGAACATTCACCAAGAGAGACCATGTTTTATGCCATAAAATACAACTTAAAAATATAAAAGAATACAAATCATGTAGTATCTACTTTCAGACCACAATGGAATAAAACTAGGAATCACTAACAGAGATAGCTGGAAAATCCCAAAGTTCTTGGAGACCTTACAACACATTTTTAAATAACACATGGGTCATAAAAAGGAATCTCAAGAGAAAACACATTTTGAACTAAATGAAAATGAAAAGCCAACTTATCAAACTTTGTGGGATGCAGCAAAAGCAGTGCTTAGAGGGAAATTTATAAATAGTGAATGTATATACTGGAAAGGAAGATTTAGAGTCTATAATCTAAGCTTCTGCCTTAGGAAACTAAAAAACAAAGAGTAAATCCAAAGCAATCAGAAGAAAGGAAATAAAAATTAGAATAGAAATCAATGACATCGAAAACAGGAAAATGAATAGCAAGGTTGCAGGATACAAGTTTAATATATAAAGTCAACTGCTTTTCTGTATTCTACAGAACAAGTGGAATTTGAAATTAAAAACACCACACAACTAGCATTCCCCCAAAATAAAATAATTATATATCTAACAAAATATGTATAGGATTTAAATGAGGAAAAGTACAAAACCTGATGGATAAAATCAAAGAACTAAATAAATAGAGAGACAGTCCATGTTCATGGATAGGAAGACTTAATATTGTCAAGATGTTATTTCTTTCCAGGGTGCCTGGATGGCTCGGTTCGCTAAGATTCCAACTCTTGATCTCAGCTCAGGTCTTGAGCTCAGGATCATGAGTTCAAGTTCCCCACTGGGCACAGAACCAACTTAAAAAAAAAAAAAAGGAAAAAAAATATGTTAGTTCTTCCCAAATTGGCCTATAGATAATGCAATCCCAGTCAAAAACCCTAGCAAATTATATCATGGACATAGATAAACTGGCTCTGAAGTTTATATGGAGAGACAAAAGACAGATGATAGCCATCACAATATTGAAGGAGACAAAGTTGGAGGACTGACACTACCCAACATCAGGACTTAACTGTAAACAGTAATCAAGACAGTGTAGTATTGAAAGAATAGATAGATCACTAGAATCATAGAGAGCCCAGAAACAAACCCATACAAATAGAGTCAACTGACTTTTGACAGAGGAGTGAAAGCAATACAATGGAACAAGAGAATCTTTTCAACAAAATGGAACACCTGGACATCCACATGCAAAAGAAAAAAAAAAATCTAGACACAGACTTTACGCACTTAGCAAAAATGAACTAAAAATGGATTGTAGGCCTAAATACAAAACTGTAAAGAACTGTAGATAAAAGACTGCTATCCAAAATATACAAAGAACTCTTAAAGCTCAACAATAAGACAATGAACAACCCAACTGAAAAGTAGACCAAACACCTAAACAGACACCTCACCAAAAAAGATATACAGATGGTAAAGAAGCTTATGAAGAGGCACTACACATCATAAGTCCTTAGGGAACTGCAAATTGAAACAACAGTGAGCTACCAACACACACCTGTTAGAATGGCCAAACTCAAACACTAATGCTTCACTGACAACACGAAATGCTGGCAAATACGTAGCACAGCAGGAGCTCTTCTTCATTGCTGGTGGGAATGCAATAGTACAGCAACTATGGACCCAGTATGACTTTTTTTTTTTTTTTCAATTCTTCTTTTCCCCAGCTATGTTGAGATGTAATTGACATATAAGATAGCATTAAGTGTGAGATGCAGGTTAGGTTAACATTTTTCTTACAAAAGTAAATACACACGCTCTTGCCATATGATCTAGGAGTCACACTTGTTGGTATTTACCCAAAGGAGTTGAAAAGTTATGGACATGGATGTTATGGCATCTTTCCTTATAATTGCCAAAACTTGGGAGTAGCCACGATATCTTTCAGTGAGTGATGGATAAATAAACTGTGGTACTTGCAAACAATGGACTATTATTCAGTGCTACAAAAAGAAAAAAAAAAAAGGCAATCAGGCCATGGAAACACCTGGAAGAATCTTAAGTTTATATGACTAAGTAAAAGAGGATAACCTGGTATGTAACTTGTACATCAATAAACTGCTTTTAAAATTAGGTTAAGATAGAAAACAGTTTGAAAAGATGAATCAGAGCTTGAAATGTTAGGACCTATTTCTTGGTCACAGTGCCGTAAGTAGATTTTCATTTCTTTTTGGGGGGGGTTCTTAGGTTTTCCAGACGTACTAAAACGATCACATATTACCCAAGTACTAAGATCTTTGAAATTCAGTGAAATAAACTTGCGGCAATCAGCGACTGCGCCACAGCTGCGTGAGAGGGGCGCCCGACTGCAGCCCCCCGCTGGTGAGCGGAGAGAGACACCACCGCTCCCCCTCCCCCCATCACTGTCCACGCTCCACTCTGGGCTCAGGACCCAGGCTCTCAAGCCTTAACAGCACGTCTTTAGAGCTTTCTAATTAGTGCTGTTTGGGGTTTTGTGTTTTGATTTCCTTTGCCAGGCTGAACAGTCAAAAGAAGAGCAGAAGCAAGGTTTGAATGCAGAGAAATTGATGCGGCAAGTCTCCAAGGACGTGTGCCGGCTCCGGGAGCAGAGCCGGAAGGTGCCCCGGCAGGTGCAGTCCTTCAGGTAAACCCCCCCACCCATGACACCGAAGGCTTGTCCTCTCGCCATCTGAATTATGCCGCCAGTTCGCATTAGCGTAGGAGTCCCCAGATCCTCTCCTACCATGTGAACGTAGATGCTTCCGTTTGCTCCTTCCTGAGGTTACAGACTCCCCCGGCAGTGGCCCTGACCCGATCCAAGCCCGGCTCCTAGGAACTCGGGGTGCCCCCCACCCCCCGAGAAGCGGTTGGCACATCTCGCTGAGTAAATACAGAAAGGCACAGATCTTCCGGGCTTTTGTTGTTCACTCATTCAACAGACGTTCTTGGGCCCCTCCTGGGCGCCCTCGCCGTGCGGGGTCAGGGATGCTCCCCAGGAGCAGGGGGCGTCTGGGGCACCCCCCGGCACTGGGGACACACACACACTCACCCTGCCGGCTTGTCTCACCTGGAATCAGGGGCCCCGTGTTCCCTGGTCCTCTGATTCATCAAGGAAGTTCGAAATCAAGGAGTCAAAAATGGCCACTGACTCAGGGCTGTGAGGCCCCGCGTGCAGCGAGGCTTCCGCTTCCGGGGCTCCTTCCGGCCTGCAGTGACGTCATGAGCACCCGCCCTCGCCTGAGAGGACGCCGACCGCGGAGACAGCCCTGGTTCCGGGTCCCGCGGTTCTGGGCCGCTCCCTCTCCTCTCTCCTGTCCTTAGCAGAGCTTTTCCACCCCAGCACTTGGCTCTTGACGCCACACTCCCTCCACCGTCTACATGGACTCTTAGTTTCTCGAAGGAAGGCTGGTGCTTTGTTTTGTTGTTGTTCTATTCTTTATCGCTGCCAACGTGCCCTGCGCAACAGCACACACCCCGGGAAATACGTGTTGGTGGGGCGCTGTGTGATGTGAAGATCTGGCGCGGAAGTGGGTATCCTGCACCTGTCTTTGGCAACTATTCGATCTTAAAATCATAATTATTATTATTATTTTTTAATACTCTCCTAACCTCTGAAACCGTTCTGCCCGATCTTTCTCAGCTTCTCCCTTTCGGGTGGTTTCTCCTTATCCCCGCTTCGGCATTTGGGACAGCTCTGCCTTTGCTAGAGTCACATTCCTTCTTTCCCCCGCCTTGGGAGTCATGGGATCACTCAGCAAGTGTCCCCTACCTGGGCATGGTATTGATCTTAAAGAATTTTCCCAGTATCATGTATTTTTCTACAAGGTCCCTGTAGAACTTTCCTACAAAGTCCCCGGGACTTTGGGCTTATGCGTCCTCTCCTGCCTCGTTTAGAAGTGCTCATAACTGACTCCCTAGTGGTTTAGAAACTGTCTGATGCTGGAAATCCGGGAAGGAAGTGCCTGTCTTGGTATGTAGACGATTCACTGTAAACCGGAGCCGCCCTTCTCCTTTATAGCCTCGCATCAAGGGAGAAGACGGGGAAAAAAGGGTGGGGGGTGGGAGACGATCTTGATTTTAGAGGGTTCTGCCCAAGGAACAGATCACCTGTGCAGGCTTGCAGAGACCACGCTGGAGTTCTTGGGACTCTTTTCAGTGGTCGCAGAGTATTTTCAACGTTGTGTTCAAGCCAGTTTATTTCTCACCCCTGACTCTAGGGAGAAGATTGCCTACTTCACCAGAGCGAAGATAAGCATCCCCTCCCTGCCGGCTGATGATGTATGATCACACCCCCTAAAGAAATTACTCTGTCACCTCTTCACTAACTAGGGAGGGTACAAGACTGAACATTTGTTTTGTTTTGTTGGGGGGGGTGTTTTTTGTAACGTAACTGTCCACTCTTTAAAGAGCTTTCATATCACATCAGATTTTCAACATGCTCATTTGTAAAGTACCTTGAATGTAATTCTTGTATGTTTAAAAAAGAAAAACAAAGTCAGGTAACCAAAATGGAAGGATCTGGTGCACAAATGTCATCCAGTACATACGAATTGCCAGCAGCCCGTGTTTTGTACAAATGGAATAGAGGCGGCACCCAGGGTATATCCTGTTGAACCAACTATCAAGAAAGAACTCGGTTTAGCAGAAGACGAGCTTGACTTTTCTTTCGATGTCTTACGGGCAGACCAGGAGGATGGCAACAGGCCCACGTGGTATCTTTGTACCCCTGGTTTGAAGGCAAATATGAGTCCAATGAGTCCAGCTCGAAACAGGTGTTGAGCTCACGCCATCACCTGTGTCGAAGCCCTTGTTTCCTGAAAACACTTTCATTCTTGTCCTTTTCTTGGAGTCTAAAGAAAACCAGATGCTGAGTGGGAATCTCAGAACCCAAAGGAGCAGTGCTCCGAACCACAGGGAAGACCTTGTGATTTGTCACATTAAGGGTGGGCAGGGAGAGGAGAGAGCCCGGTACCCTCAACCCACTTGAGTCAGCTCGTCAGCGAGCACCCATGGCCCAGAACACGCCCGGACTCCACGGCCGTGTTCCAGCCAGGGTTTCCAGCTCGCACTGCTGAGCTGCTGTCCCAGGTCCGAGGGTGGTGCCCACGACAAGCCCATGGCGGCCAGCCCTCTGAGAACAGACAGCACCCACCTTGTGGCGGAGACACGCACAAGCACTCCTTCAGGAAAACGGGAATCTTGATTAAGTCAAAGTTGCCAAAAAAAAATTTTTTTTAACTTTATTAAACCAATTACTCACATTCACTAGAAATTATTTTGCAGCTCTCATTCTTAGGAGCTCCCATCTGTAATTTGTGGTAAGGAGGCCAAGAGAAGAGTGTGCCTGGGGAGATATCAATCTGAAGTATGGGCCAAGGCATTTGTTTCAGAAAACAATTCTAGATGAACTAAGGTAGGCAGAGGAACAGACTCCATCCAGCCAGTGTCCTCCCCCTCCCTAGCCCAAGCATGGGCTTAAAAGAAAGCGAGACGCCCTATAGCTCTGTCAACATAAAGGCTTTTAGAATAGAGTATTTATGCAATTTAAATCCTACTTATCATCCAGCCAGTTCCAGTAGAAGAGGCAATTTTTGGCCAGCCATCTTCTGTAACAAACTAAATCTTTTTTTTTTTTTTTTTTTTTTTTCAAAAAATGCAAAAATCACCTTCAAGGAATGGACCCCTTAAAAAAATATATATTAAGTTCTATTTCTAACATAGAATCCCCGGCAGGAATTTTTAGTTTCTTGAAAGTAATTATACATATTTTGGAAAGTTCCTTTTATCAGAATCAAAATTCAAATTAAGCAATTTCTGAGCCTAGAAATTCAATTATTTTTTCCTCCGTTGTCCCACCACTTAAATCTAAATGTCTCTGAAGCTATAACCAGATGTGACACGACTTTGAACATAAACCAGCCTTGTGAATTGGCTGCACACAGTCCTTCAAGGCCGTGAGGTTCATTCTATCAGATGACTAAGGAGAACTAGAAAGACAATACCATTCATCCTTGTCAAGGTCAAATGTGAAAGACAGAGGTTTATCTAATGTAGAGCTAAATGAAGGTCAGCTGTTTTCAGCGTTTTAGTTTGACCGTGAAAATGTTTATAGGATTTTGTGTAGTTATACCGTACAATTCTATTTTCTTCATTTATTTATTTACGGTCTTATTTATGTTCTGTTTAATATATAGTTCGGTTCTGGCCATTTTAAATGTTTGACATAGAAGAGGCTATATTGGAATATCTACACTTTTATAAGTCTTCATCAGATTCGCTGTTTACTTTTTGTAATACAAAAAGTTTCAGACAAGTATAAAAGAAGAACAAAATCTGTCTCAGGCTGGTAGTCAACAGTTGTGACCAGGATTTGGGTTTTCTTTTACAAAATTTGCTCATTTCTAACATGAGAAACGAACTTATTTTAATATAATCCTTTTCCACACTTTAAAAAATCAGCAATAGTGTTGTGTATTTTAGGCAGCTTTTAACAATTCTGTCATATTTGTACTAACCCAAATGATTCACAGTGACAAAACATTTTAATAACTTGATCACAAAACCATATGAACAATATGAATTTTAATATTATAAATACTATTTTTTAAAGGTAGAATTTATTCTGCACAGGGTAAAAAGAATGTAATATTTAGTTCTCAAGTTTGAATTATCAATATGTTATTATAATTTTGTATATCAGAATCTAAGTTACAGGTACAAAAAAACATTGCTAGCCAAATGAACAAAATCTAGCTGTCTGTAGCATGCAAATCAAATCTAAAATCTTTTTTTTTGCTATTACTTTATCTATATTGTATTAAATATCAAAAGCTCAGGACTGAACTAAATATTTAATCAGGTTAAATTCTGAATATGTTTCTGTTTCTGTTAATCGTCTCTGTAAAAGTACGCAAATACATCACATAGATTAACTTTGGTTTCTGCACTTTTCCTGTGTTTGTGGGTGGAAAAAGGTTCAGTGGGTTTGTTTGTTTTTTTAAACAAAGATGCATATTGCTTCATACTTCATTTCAGTGTCATGTACTGTTCAGTCAATTTCTCTGATTGTTGCAAACAAGAGTTTATCTGAGCCTTGTACCGAGCAAATACCAGATCCATCATGAGGAACTTCCCAAGCCAGCAGTTTGCTGGAGATGGTTCTGGATTGGGCGGTCGGTGTTGCTGATAGAAAAATAGGGCCTATTTGCATCATGCGAGTAAAAGAAGGAGTCCCCAAGGTGAGCCAGGAGCTTCCCCCCACCCTACCCCGGACCTTGACCTGCAGCCCCCCACCCCCACCCCGGGGCTGCTCCACAGAACCCGGGGCAGCCAGGGCCCTCAGCCATCTGCCACAGAGCACCGGGCACCGAAGCCAAAGCACACTTGGGGGCCCATATTTTACGTGAACCTCCCCAAACACCAGATTGCCACCCTCTGCTTCTGCGCTGGTAAGGAAGGCATGAAGGAATGTGGCTGGCTTTTGGAAAAGGCCCCGTAGAGGCCCTGAGGTCTCCAATTACAAAGGAGATGAAATATCCTACGTCTCTCTCCTCTCAAGCTTTCAAAGAACCAGCAATTTTTTTAGTCTAATCTAATGTCCTTTCTCAATAAATATGCAACAAGACTTGAGTTTCAAGATAATAGGTGATCTTACACACTTGAAAGCAATAAATGATTAGCAGTTGCCAAAACGATTCATCTCTATGAATAACACCTTCAAAGATATGTAAGTGCTAATATAATGTTTTATTTACCAGCTCTGTGCAATCACCGAATCTATTTTAAAATGAAGAAAACTCATCCACAGTAATGAGTATGATTACTATTAAGTCTTGAGTGGTTTTGATCTCAGAATAGAAGATAAAAGTGTTTTTACTGTCTTAGAAGGAAATTATAATTTACGAAGCGAATAGCCACAGGGAAATGCATTTTAGAAAATTAAAAGCCCCGTGAATGGGTGGCTGTGTAGCAGGAAATCCTACCAAATCCAGAGAGGAGGGATCTGCTCTTGAGGGATGGACCCCACTGATGTTTTCTGGCTTAGATTTTCCGATGGGCTTTGTTCATCTGCCGGTGCTCACAGTGATATCTTGTTTCTGCCACTGCATGGTGGTCCAAAGCTGGGGCAGCCTGGGAGAAGCAGGCTGCACAGTCCAACAGGCCCCCTCCCAGGAGGAGGGAAAAGCCAGCAAACCAACCCAGAAAGAGGGCGTCCCCAAACTCCCACCTGGGCACGATCTCTGGCACAGTCTCATCCCAGAACTCCTGGACCGTCTTGTAGGCGACCCAGGACACCGGAGCCAGAGCCGCAACCCCGGCCGCCCAGAACAGAATCCCTCCCAGGATCAGCAGCCCCTTCTTGTGGCCCTGCCGTGTCTCTCCAATCCTCAGGCAGTCCAGGCCAAAGCTGGAGACCAGCAGGCCCAGGAGCCCCAGCCCGTTGGACAGGAACATGAGAATCCTGGCGATCCGGAGTTCGGCAGGCAAAGCCAGGAAGGAGTCAAAGTCCTTGCACTGTCTCCCCACCTCCTCTTGGATGACACAAGCCTGCCAGAGCCCCATGGTCCAGTTCTCCATTTCGTTTAGGTCCAGATTGAGGTTTTTCCACTGTGGCAGGTAGTTTGTAAGACAGGACAACACCCATCCCAGCAAAGAGAGTGAGATCCCAGCGAATTGTGCCACAGTCCGAAATACTAAAGCCATCCCTGAGCCCCACAGAGCCCGAGCCACACCAGCTCCTGCCTTTCGACTGGCGTGCAGAGAAGTGTGACACCTTATGCTATCTCCGCAGAGCTCGGAAATATTTCTTCATCATGTGTAGAGGATTCTTGCCAGAGTGGCTATTGTTTGATTCCGTGTTGACTGACTTTCAGGAAAGGACAGGGAAATAAGTCCACCAACCAGCAACAATGCCAGGGTGTGGCCAAGCGCCATGATCCTGTCCTAGGGGCTGACCCTGACTGTGGTCGTAGTTTGTCTCTGAGATCATCTTAAGCAGTGCTCATCCCCCTTTCATTGTTAACAGTACAGATGGCTCTCAGGTTGTTCCCAACCTTTCTAACAAGTCAAAGAATTAAGTCTAAATGCAAAATGGCCCAGTTTGGGTTCAGCTCCAAGCCTTTCTGTCTACCTTACTAATTGCACCTGTCTCCTTGCCATCTTTATCACTCGGATTTCTGTACGTACGTCGCGGTAATACTGAATGTGGTCCCTTTTTAAAAGCAGGTTCAAGAAAAATATTTCTTACCCAAATACATCGATCTGACCAGAAATCTCTTTAGACCTTCAATCAGGTCTGTTTTTTTTTTTAAGACCCTTGAGCTACCTATAGAACATAACACATGCTTGCTGTGCCCTAAAGACCAGGTCTAGTTCCCTCCCTGCCTTTCTGTCAAATCTGTGCCCGTGTGCATGGGCACTTTGTTTTCTTTGCTTAAGTTTGCTTTCTATATTGTAGAAAAGTAAAGGAACAGGACTTTGTAGGTCAGAACGAACACCTTTTGTCAGTTCACCACTAAAGTCAATATCCTCATGCTGATCATTTTTAACGGAAGAAAGCAAAGCTTTTATTAGGGGAAGTGGAAACTGTCAGTATCTGGATATCTAGCACAAGACATTTCTGGAATTGCTCATCTTTTTTAGATTTGAAACCTTGGAAGAGACAAGAGAGGAGACTGGCCAGCATTTTGAGTGTGAGAGTATCATTAAGGACCGAAAACTGTCAGCCTCATCAAATTCTGTCACAACGGGTGCCTGCTAATGTCCTAAACAAAAACCACCTCTGTTCAAAGAAGACCAAAGTCGTCGTTGTGGAAATCACACTTTGGGACAGGCTGAGCATGCACTGTTGCTAATGCAGAATGTTTAAAGGATTTCAGATTGGGTTTTCCTTTAGGAAATAGATACTAATTCTTATGATTTCCAGCTACCAGCAAAAACAAAAACCAAAAAATTTTCTAATATAAAATTAACACATTAAAACTTAATACTGATTACAATGGACAACCACCACCATGTTTTGATTTAAATAACCAGCTCGATGAAATTATTTTTGCCCATACCTAGGTAATGCTTACCACGATAATTTTCTTTTAGTTACAAGACTTGCCTCTTTCTTACCTCTCCAGATTTTGGGGGGTAGGGGAGATCTAGAATAGAAGAGTGGTTATTTAATAACATGTGAGCAGCACGGATTTAGTTGAAGAACAAAGACCCCTTTCTAATGTAGACCCCACTTCACAGTTGCTGTGGAAAGATGTGTCTCTCCGGTCCCGTCAAAGCCTTACACCCTCGGGTCTGCCATTCCATTTTCCAGGTATGGACTTTGAGTTAGTGTTTCTGCCACTGCATAGTGGCCCGAAGCTGGGGCAGCCTGGGAGAAGCAGGCTGCACAGTCCAACAGGCCCCCTCCCAAGAGGAGGGAAAAGCCAGCAAACCAACCCAGAAAGAGGGCGTCCCCAAACTCCCACCTGGGCACGATCTCTGGCACAGTCTCATCCCAGAACTCCTGGACCGTCTTGTAGGCGACCCAGGACACCGGAGCCAGAGCCGCAACCCCGGCCGCCCAGAACAGAATCCCTCCCAGGATCAGCAGCCCCTTCTTGTGGCCCTGCCGTGTCTCTCCAATCCTCAGGCAGTCCAGGCCAAAGCTGGAGACCAGCAGGCCCAGGAGCCCCAGCCCGTTGGACAGGAACATGAGAATCCTGGCGATCCGGAGTTCGGCAGGCAAAGCCAGGAAGGAGTCAAAGTCCTTGCACTGTCTCCCCACCTCCTCTTGGATGACACAAGCCTGCCAGAGCCCCATGGTCCAGTTCTCCATTTCGTTTAGGTCCAGATTGAGGTTTTTCCACTGTGGCAAGTAAGTGGTGATCACGGATAAAACCCATCCCAGCAAAGATAATAAAAGTCCAATGAGTTGCACTGCTGCTCTGAAGACGAAAGCCATTCCAACAGATTCTACAACTTGGGCCACCCCCTATAGGAGCCACCGTCTTCAGTAGTTGTCAGGAGTGTGATGCTCTCAGTCCTATCTTGCCTGGAATATAAGCTTTGGCCATTAACTCTTGGGAAACTCTGAAATGCGTTTTTGTTCTTCTCAAATATAATGTTTCATGTAAAGGACGAAGGACCCTGTTAAAACTATGAGTTAGGCTTTCTGATAAGGATTTGATCTGTTACCTTCCAATTTGCTTGGTAAAATTACATCCCCAATGCTTGATGATTATAAGTCTAAGGATGAACAAAGAGGGCTCTATGACCCCTCACCCTAAAGTACAACAGAAATCTTTGTGCTTCAATATGGATTAATTAGATTTTAAGTGGTGATAAAAGGCCAGCTCTTTCTGCAACAGGACCTCATTGTAGTAGCCGAATCTGAGATCTCAGGGATGCAGAACAAGGCCTTGTAAAGAAAGGTAGACTGTTTCCCTATAATCTTTATTCTTCTCGGACTTCCTTAACCTACACAAGAGCCTGGCCCCGGTTCTTGAGTGTCACAGGCACTCAGTGGGGACTTGGCAGGAAAGTTTCCTTGGATTCCTTTGAAAGGTGGAGGCTGGTTCACTGGGTTCATTCAAATGGAAAAAAAAACAAGACTGATGCCCAGAGGTGCTAAGTGAGGAGGGGAGAATCCTGGGAAGCTCTGGATTTCATTCTAAGATTTTCTCCACCCTCGTTGAGGAGCTGGGGTAAAGCATGATTTCTTAGTGTCTGAGAGGGTTTTTTGGTTCACAGCTGAGCTGTCTTTGCTGTCATTGAATCCACACAGACAAAGTCACACCAGGTTGGAAGACTCCTGGCAGGTCCAAGAGAAAGGTTTGGGTGTGGAAACAAGAGCCGCAAGGGGGGCTGACCTTTGAGGCGCCATCTTGTTTGCTCTTTTGATTTAGGCCACACCGTGAGAGCACACTTCTGCGGCACGGGACCCCTCAGAGAATGCAGGGCCTGTCGGCTGGGATAAGAGGCCACACGCACCAGAGTCCCAGAGCAGTGCCGGGCCCCACAACCCAGACCCCACTCTGCTCAGGGTCCTGGACCTCCTGTGCCCGCAGCTGGAAGGCGGGGTCTGAGAGGCTGGTGTGGGAAGGACATGCAGGAGCCAGGGCCCTGGAAGGTTCTAAGCCTCTGGAACAGAACCACTGCCCGTCACCACCAGCCTGAGTCTAGTCCAGGGTCAGAGAAGAGTTTTCATGAAGTCGCCTGACAGGAGATAGGAGAAAAACAGAGCCCTGATGACCCAGATGTATCCAAAGTAAGCCTCAGAGTCATTAGGTGAATGGGTCTTTCTTCAGCATTTTCCAGCATTTCAGGTTAAAAAAGAAGAGGAGTCCTTAACTTTTACAAATTCTCAGAATCCCTTGGTTATTCTGCTGTCCTTGTTGTGCTAAAGTAAGAGGTGGTTCCGGTTTGCAAAAAGACTGAAGAGTCCAGAAAGGGCTGTCGATCTGTCCAGGCTTCCTCATCCCCAGGCGCTGGGACAATGGTGAGCTCGAGCTTTCCTCCCGGCAGGCAGCCTGGATGCAGAAAGCTCTCGAGACCAATCCTTAACAGTCACGAGGAGATGATTCTTGATATCACAACGAAGTTTGCTTGTTTTTTTAATGGAATGGAATAGGTTGCCGTGTGAGACCGTGATCTCTCCTTCCCAAACCTGTTTTGGGATACTACTTGGGGTGACTGGGTAGCTCAGTTGGTGGGGTGTCTGTCTGCCTTTGGCTCAGGTCGTGATCTCGGGGTCCCGGAATCAAGCCCCGCATTGGGCTCCCTGCTCAGAGGGGGGTCTGCTTCTCCCTCTCCTTCAGCCCCTCCGCCTAACACATGCTCTCTCTCTCTCTTTCAGATAAATCTTTTCTTTTTTAATTGTTAAAAATAAAATAAAATAAAAAAGGGTAATTCTCGGGACACCTGGCTGGCTCAGTCTGAAGAGCAGCAATTCTCAATCTCAGTGCTGTGAGTTTGAGCCCCACCTTGGTCACAGAGTAAAAAAATAAATAATTTTTTTTTTTTTTTTTTAAAGATTCATTCTCACCTGTCAGGGCTACTGTGGGGAGGTTTCTGCCACAGTGAGGGTCAGGCCTGGATAACCTCTAAGCGCTGCCTCAACTCATTTATTCTTTTAATTTTATTAACATATAATGTGTTATTTGTTTCAGGGGTACAGGTCTGTGGATCATCAGGCTTACACACTTCACAGAACTCACCATAGCACATGCCCTCCCCAATGTCCATCAGCCAGCCACCCTCTCCAAACCCCCCTAATTCATTTATTCTTTCAGCCTTTAGCAAAACATGTAGAGCACCTCCCCCTGGCTGGACTGTTGTGGGCTAAACACACCATCAAGACCAGGATGTGTGTGGGCCCTTCCCCTGCCTCTGCCCCGACGGCTCACGTTCCAGTAGGAGGCCACCAGGAAACTAATAAGATAATTCAGAGAACTGCACGGAGCCGGGGTGTGAGGGTGTGAGTTCGGGGCAGAGGAGACCCCAGGGCGGCCTCCTCCGGACCAGAAAGTGCAAAGCCCTCCCACCCCCAGGAACTCCCACCTCCATGGGCCAGTGGACCTGAGGGCAGCAGGGGGCAGAGTGGGGGGACTCGCTGCTGGCAGCCCACGTTGCTCCCAGGGTGGGGGTGAAATTCACAAAACAAATGTCACCTCCTCTGTAAAACACAAGTATAATATCTTTAAAAAATAATAATACACTGTTCAGTGTACGGAGGACTACGTTATCTCTGTCTCCAGAACATTCATCTAAGAACAAAAACCCCAGGTTACCGAAAGCCACACATCTGGGGAGCACTCTCAGGAACAGAGGCTCCATCTCTCCTCTCTCCCTTGGTGGAGGACTAGGGAGGTTCTGGAAAAACTTGGGACGGGAGGTACTTTTGAGGCCTTTTTGGGGGAAAAAATTCCGTCGCCGTAAG